GGGACGACGATCGAGCCTTTGGCGGCCCTTTAAAACGATAATCGAGCAGAAAAAGCCGAAACGGTTTCGTATCGATTCAAATCTGATCACCTTTCCCGTCTCCTTCGTGTTTATACATATGTACAGCCGCGAAATCGGCAGGGACAAATATGGTATTGGCCGCGATCGTAATCGCCGATCCGAGATCCGAGATTCAAAGATTCGAGATTAAGAAATGGAATGGACGTGTTTCGTGATATTGCGTGATATGAAATTCGGTTGGAAAAAAATTTGGACGCGGCTAAAAAGAAAGAGAGAGAGAGAGAAAGAAAAAAAAAGAAAAGGAGATATTAACCTCTATCCTCGTCCATTTTTATCCGTTTCGCGCATCGCGTGTCGATAAATCCGAATACACACCTTAAAGGTAAGCGACTCGAACGAAAGAATTCGTGAATTCTTCTCTCCACGGATCGGTCACAGGTGATCGAGCGAGCCCAACCTATCCGACTATGGTAGAAGATCAAAAGTTAAAGTGTGTCAGCTCGCAAAAGCGGAACACGTCTCGGTTCGTGGATCTTTGATGGCTCGAATCGTGGAGAGGCTCGAGGAAGGAGCGTTGACTTGGCAGTAGGACACGTAACACGGTGATTTGACACTAACAGGGATACGGGAATGGCGTCGTGACCAGGTGTAATCGAGAAAAGGGGAGCCACAGGAGGGGGAGCATCTCACGGAGGGCAAGTCGGCGCCTTTCATCCCTTCCCCTTCGTCGCTCCTCTCTCTCTTTCTCTCCCGTTTATCTCTTTTTTTCTCGCTTATCCTCCCCCTTTGGCCGTTCGGTAATGCTCGCCTTTCTCGATCCTGCCTCGCTCGTCGTTTCGTGGAAACTGATATCTCTCGACGAAAAGGGACTTCGGGGAAAAGGGAAAATTCGTCTTTTTGGGGGGAAAAAGGGATCCTGGTTGGAAAGGATGCTGTCAATCCTTCTTTACAGACGAGGACGGAGCGTTATTACCATTAATTCTCGACCTTGCGTCGCACGGATACTTCCATCGTGCTAGTGAGAACGAATGATAATTATGTTTTTACAATCCTATCTCGAATGCCATTCGCGAGGAAAATTCGTGGTTGGAAAAAAAAAAGATAGTCAAGATAGAAACGCTACTAGATTCTTTACTTTCAGAGTACGAAACATGAAGTTACCAAAGGATAAGATGTAGAAATAATTAATTATTTTCGATTAAAGACACATTTTTTTTTTAAATTTATTTAACAACGAAGTAAGAGATGCTTGTTTTAATTATATTGATACGACTATGGTGTTGAAACGCGGCTTGTGCGATCTTTTTTAGATGATATGATACATATTTCAGGATTCTTTGAACGTGGAACAGGAATAACAAAAGAGTGGTCGTTAACTATTTCCATGTTGCTCGTGCTTGGCGTTGTTACTAATTAACAAGCAACCGGGTGCTCGTTATGCTACCTAGTTGACGAGAACCTGGTTGGATTCCTCAACACCTAACCATTTATTCGTGGAACTGCTACCTCATCGATCTTTCTATCTAAACAGACGGTCTTGCGTTCCAACTTTCACTCTAGAGACTTTACATTACAACGTTTAACCATTTACAAAATTTTTAAATACGAAGAATTTAGTCAACGAGGTGGCCGAGAGTTCGTACGAAGCTAATCTAATCTTTCAAGTATTTTATAATACAAGCTAAAATTAATTCCAACGAAGAGAAAAATAATAATAACAAATATTCTTACTTAAATCTAACCATTCAAAACTATTCCAATCATTTTTATAATTTTTAATCCGAGTTCAGACTTGG